AGGGGAGAGGGCATTCTTTGGAAAAATACATCAAACTGGGAAAGGTGGAGTGTCAGAAAAGGAGAGGAATACCTTCAACAAAATATATTGACACAATGGCTGTAACAATAGGCTCGAGTACATCAGAGAGTGTAAGGACGATGCAGGAGAGGGCAAGCTTCAGATCTGTTGATACGGTGATTAAACACATATTGATGTAGTTAATACAGTGATTAAACGCATGAACCATCCCTGACAGGATCCACAGAGTTCAGGTAGGTACATCTAGGTAAAGAAGAGGTGGAGAACCTCAGTACGGAACAAAGCCAGGGGCTGACTGTGGAACAGCTCGTCAACTGCTCAAATGAATGCTCACCTTGAAGCTGAAAAAAAATGAAAACAAAACCACAAGAATCAAATATGATCTTGAGCATGTTGTTGTTAGGTGCCGCTGAGCTGACCACAACTCAGAGACCCTGTGGATAATGGATCTGAACCCAGTCCTGTCTTGCACCATCCTCATCATCGTGGTATACTTGAGCCCATTGTTACAGTCAACTGCCCAGTCTTGTTGAGGGGCTCTTTCTTCTTCACTGGCCCTTACTAACAACATGCGCAAAGTTTGTGAGATGACGTTTCACCATCCTTGCCTCCAAGCAGCTCTGTAATGGCCCTTTCTCGAAGACTTATTTGCTCATTCTTGTGGGATTTTCAGTACTCTTCTCCAACACCACAACTCAATCTTAAATACATTCCACTTGAATTGAGACCATCTTAAAAATAGATTTGATGCATTGAACACTAATGACCAAAGATCAGACAAGTTATGGAGCGATATAAAAACTGGTATATATGAAAAATGCAAAAGGTCATAAAAAAGACATGAAGTAAAGAAAGACCAAAATTAACATCAGAAGAGTCTCTGAAACTTGCTTTTGGATTTGGAAGAGCTAACGCAAAAGGAGAGATGATGAACTGAGAGATTTGAGTAGATATTGCAAAGGGCAGTCTGAGAGAAGAAAAAACATAATCAAATGTGCAAAGACTTGGCATGGGGGGAAAAAGAGAAGAACATGCTTGGCATTTCTCAAGTTGAAGAACAAATCCAAGGCTTGTATTGAAATACTGAAGGATTCTATGGGCAAAATCTAGAGTAATTCAGGAAGCACTAAAAGAAAATGCAAGAAATACATACAGTTACTGTACAAAAAAGAAAGAGTCAACATTGGACCATTTCAGGAAGCAGCACACAATCCGGAACCTATGGTACTTGGTGGAAGAACTCCAAGGTACACTGGAGACATTGGTAAAAATAAGGCTCTCGGAATGGATGGAATACCTGTTCTACAAAACAAAGGCACTGCTGAATGTCCTCACTTGTCTGTGCCAAGGTATTTGGAAGACAGCTACCTGGCCAGCTGACTGAAAGAGGACTCTTTTGTGCCCATTCGAAAATGTATGTTCCAACAGAATGTGGATATTACCTAATGAAACCACTACTGTCACATGCAAGTACAATGTTGCTCTAGATTATGAAAATCTGTCTAGAGCAGGACATTGACAGAGAATTGCCAGAAATTCAGGCCAGATTCAAAAGAGGCTGTGGAAAGAGGGCTATTTTTTCTGATACCAGATGGATCTTGGCTGAAAGCAGAAAATACCAGCAAAATGTTCAGGCTTTTTTTTTTAATTTAATGACTATATGAAAGCAATTGACTGTGTAGATCATAATCAGTGGATAACATTGACAAGGACGGGAATCCAAGAACATTTCATCAGTATAAAGTATGTGTTAGGGCTGTGTTATCCCCCCCCCACATTTAATTGGTACTCTGAGGACCTATCTGAGAAGCCTGACAATACAAAGAAGAATGTAGTATCAGAATTGGAGGAAGATTTATCTATAGGCTGCAATACACAGATAACAGAACCTCGCTTGCTTGTAGTACTCACTGGAGAAGATCAAGGGCTATAGCCTTGAGTGTGGGTTACGCTTCAACGTGAAGAAACACAAATCCTCATACCTGAACTAATAAGCTATGTGAAGGCAAACAGATGAAAGATTGAAGCTATCAAGGATTTCCTTTTCCTTAAATCCACAATCAACACCTGTAGGAGCAGCAGTCAAGAAATCGAAAGATGTGCATTAGGCAAATCTGTTGTCAAGAACGTCTTTAAAGTGATGTTGTTGTTGTTATGTGTCGTCGAGTCGCTTGCGACTCATAGCGACCCTGTGTACAACAGCCCTAAACTCCGCTCTGTCCTGTGCCAATCGCACTGTCTCTGAACTCCCATCCCAATTATCCCAGTCACTGAATCAATCCACCTCATAGAGGGCCTTCCTCTCCTGTGCTGTCCCTCCACCCTCCCAAGCATGATGTCCCTCTCCAAGGATAAAGTGATAAAAGAGTAATTATGTCAGTTTGAAGATTAAGGTGACCCTGACCTTAGCCATGGAGTTTTAAGTTACTTCATATGAATGTAAAAATTGGAAAATGAGTAAGGAAGACTGAAGAAGAACTGACAGAAAAAAAAGACAAAAACTGATGCTTTTAAATTGTAATGTTGGAGGAAAAAAAAGTTGAATATACCAAGGACTGCCAAAAGAGCAAACTCTAGGAAACACTGCAACCTTCACCGAAGAAGACATTCAGATAGCAAAGAAACATGTGAAGAAATGTTCAAAATCCCTAGCTCTAAGAGAGATGCAAATCAAAACAACTATGAGATATCATCTCACCCCAGTCAGAATAGCAAAAATTAACAGAACAGCAAACATCAAATGCTGGAGAGGTTGTGGAGAAACTGGAATCCTTATTCACTGTTGGTGTGAGTGTAAAATGGTGCAACTACTATGGAAGGTTGTATGATGCTTTCTCAAACAGTTGCAAATAGAGATACCATTTGACCTAGCAATTCCACTACTGGGAATATACCCCAAAGAGACCATAACTGACATCCAAACAGATATATGCACACCCATGTTTATCGCAGCTTTGTTTGCAATAGCAAAAAGTTGGAAACAACCCAAGTGCCCATCAACAAATGATGGATAGAGAAGCTCTGGTATTCACACAATGGAATACCATGCAGCATTGAAAAACAAGGAACTCATGAAATATTATGCAAAATGGGTGACCCTGGAGGACATTATGCTGAGGGAAATATCTCAGTCACAAAAGGATGAATATTGCATAGGGCCACTGTTGTAAAATGGGACTGACATCATGGTTGTGGGAAGACAGAAACAGAGGGGAAGAATGATGTATTCAATGATGTACATTGAAACAGATGAGGGAAAGAACTGTTTACAAGGGATATGTGATTGGGTAGTCTTGTCGTTACAGAAATCCAGAGTGAAGGTGGCATAGTAGAGTGGACTTGGGGGGAGGGATTGCATAACAGTGAAAGAGTTTTTCTTTTTCTTTTCAAGGAGAATTGGGGGGAGGTAGAGAGAAAAGTGCAACAATGAATGACCGGAAACCCTAAGTCTCTGTAAACTTTCATTAAAATTAATCTAAAATAAAGCAACCAAGCTGCTCTTTAGAAGCAGAGAATGGTGAGACTTTGTCTCACATATTTTGGGCAGGTTACCTGGACAGCCAGTCCTTAGAAAAGGTCATGGTGCTTGAAAAAGTAGAGGCTCTCTGAAGGACAAAATGACCCTCGATGAGAAGGATTGATAAGGAGACTGGAACAATGAGTTAAAGCCCATTAGAGAGAGATTGTTAGTAAGGCTTAAGACGGGGCTGGAACTTACTCTGCCACACAAGGGTCACTCTGAGCTATAACCAACTTGATGTCACCTAACAAAACCAAATCTCAACCCATGGTGGCCTCAGCTGTGCAAGAGTAGAACGGCGTTCCATAAGGTTCTCAATGGCTGACTGTTCAGAAACAGGGAGCCAAGGTGTTCTTCTGATGTACCTCTGGGTACACTGAGCCTCAGCCATGCAGCCAGCAGGGGAGTTTGTTCATTGCTTGCATCACCCAGTGATTCCTTTGTACTTTCTAACCCCCAAACACCTAAACAGTTGCTGTCCAGTGGATTCTGACTCAATGCCGATGCTAGATAGAGAGCCTCAATAGAACTCTGCCACTGTTTCCTGAGGGTTAGACTACTGTCGAATCAAGGACAAGGATGCAGGGAGCTCTGGTGGCCTCGTGGCAAGAAGTTCTACTGCCATCCTGAAGGTGTGCAGTTCGAATCCACCAGATGCTACTTCCTGGAGAAGGAGGGAATTGTATTAAAAGGAATATATGATTAGGTATTATTGGTGGGACGAGAATCCAGAATAAGAGCTGCGTAGTAAATTGGTCTGAGGGAGGGAGTGTATAACAACGAAAAAAACAAACTCCATGGCGGAAAGGGCCAGGGAGGAAAATATGCAGCAATGAATGAATGGAAATCCAAGCTCTTTATAAACTTACAATAAAATCTCAATGAAAAAAAAATGAGAGAGGGGCAATCTCCTCCTGTCCAGTTGGATCCAACTTGAAGATACACTACAAGGAAAAAAAAAAAAGACAAGGACACAAATAGAAGTTGGTTGTGCCTGTACAAACAGCCAAACCAAAAAGAAAACATATTGCCAATGAGTTGACGCAGATTAGTGGCAAATCCACGCGTGCTGAGTGGAACTGTTGTGATCTTCCAGAGGCTGATGACTCGGTAATTCTTCCAACACATCTTCCAAGGAGGTTCCAAGTGGTAAATTCACATTGCCAATCTGTTGGATTATGAGTTGAGCACTTAATTGATTGTGCTACAAAGGATCTTCTGTGCTGTTGTCAGTTGCCATCAAGTTGAACATGACTCATAGCAAGCCTATGACCAACAGATCTGAACCCTGTTCTATCCTGTGCCATCCTCAGCATCTCTGACACACTTGAGTCCATTGCTGCTGTCATCATGTCGATGAAACTCTAAGGACCTCCGAAAGAGACCCCAAATGGCCTTTTTTTGTCTTCCCCCTCACAAACATGTAACACACAGGACCCCCAAGGGACAGCTAGATTACTTACTCATTTTCCACATGCTGCATGGTGTTAGGAAGTGATTGATTCTTGGTTTCCGGAAGGAGCATGACAAGGAAACCAGCTGGGAAGGGCAAGAGTCCATAAATGATCCAGGGTAGCGGGGCATAAAACATCACCAGGGTCATCAAGAGGGGAGCCAGGGAGGCACCGCTTCTAGCAGCGATTGTCTGGAGTGCTCCATTTGTCGCCCTTGGAACACAAATGACAATACCAAACACAAAACAAAATTTGTAGAAGTCTATCTACGAAAGTTCTTATCAATAAAACAATTTTCAGCTTATTATGGGGACACAGCACAGTTGTTAAATATGTGGGCTGTGATAACAACCTCTTAGCTATGAGATCAGCTTTATCATTTTCTACCTTTAGCATCATCATGTTTGTAACTACTCTAAAAATTCCATTGTATCACTGTTAATATAGACTGGATCTTTAGCTTAAGTGAGATTATGCATCAAAGTTTTTGATCAGCATGAGTGCATGATGTCAGGTTAATAACTGTTGGCTGTAAACGACTCTATTACTTCCCTTATCATCAGTTCCTTGTAACACCTAAATAGTGTCCACTTAATCCCAACAAATGTTATTTAAGAAAGTCCTGTTTTATCCAGTTTTTAAAAAAGAAACAAAAACAAAACAACCCAACAGGATAAATTATGTTCACTGCATTTAAATCTATGAGGGAGAGAATAGTTTCAAAGTATTATATTTTAGGGCATTATGTTTATCATAAGAGTATGGAATGAGGTTTGCAGAGTGGATTATATTTGGGGTGGGGGTGGGGTTGGCAGGTGTGCAGGGGGGATTGTGTACCAATGAAGGAGTTTTTCTTTTGCTTTTCAAGGAGAGGAGCGAACAGGTTGGGGGGGGGGTGGGGAGAAAAGTGCAACAGTGAATGAATGGAATTCCAAAATCTCTAGAAGTTCATTGAAATTAAAAAAAAAAGAAAGTCCTGTTTTGAACCTGGACAGTTCTTTTCTTTTCCCTTGGGAAGGATCTACCTTCAGGAGGATATTCCTGAAATTATTCTTTTTTAATGGAAGCTCTGGTGGCCTAGTGGCAAAAAGCTGTGTTGTAATCCCGAAGGTATGCAGTTTGAGGCCACCACTTGCTCCACAGGAGAAGAATTGGCAATCACCTCACATATGATTAAGTGCCTCTGAAAACGCACCAGAGGGTCAGTTATGGGTAAGCTCCAACTCGATGATATGCAACAATGACATTTTTTTTTAAAAAATGAGAGTTTACTGAAAGGTTGGTTTTCATTCATTAATTGTTATGCATTTTCCTCCCTTCCCTCTTCTCCCTCCCCCAGCAAACTTGGCAATACTCTCTTTTTCCAGATTGTTGTCATACACATGATGTCTAATTGTGTATTCCATTCAGACAGTGCTTCCCCTTAACTTTTCTACTGCAGTGTTCATTATCTGTCCACTTTTTCCCAATTCTCCCCTCAACCTCCTATGTTCAAAATTCCTAGCTATCAGAGAGATGCACAGCAAAACAATATCTCCCTACAGCAACAACAGCCAAGTTCAACAGAGCAGCAAACAAATGCTGGTGAGGTTGTGGCGAGATTGGAACTCTTATTTATTGCTGGTGGGAATGTAAAACGGCGCAGCCACTATGGAAGGCAGTCTGATGCTTTCTCAATAAATTAGAAATATAATGTGACCCAGAAATTCCACTACTGGGAATATACCCTAAAGAAACCAAAGCCATGCAAAAACAGATGTATGGATACCCATGATTATTGCTGCATTATTCACAATAGGAAGCAAATGGAAGCAGCCCAAGTGCCCATAACAAATTAATGCATAGAAATACCACAGTGCATTCACACCATGGAATATTAGGTGGCACTGAAAAACAATGAACGTGTAAAGAGCTACACAAAATAGGTGACCATGGAGGACATTATGCTGAGAAAGCTATCTCAGTCACAAAAGTACAAATACTGCACAACACCACTGTTATCAAATAGAACCTGAACAGTTCTTGTACCTGAATATGGTGGGCGTGAGTTCAGTACTGTGGATGGAAAGAGTAGTACTGACACACGCAGAGGCACCAGCTCCCAATATTGCTAAAGATGCACGCAGTATCTGCATTTCTGGAGAGAGAGGGTACCGTGAGACTCAGGAAAATGAGAATGAAAAATCCGCCAACCCCCAAATACATATGAAAGAATCCTGCTGTTTACAAGTAAGAAACATGACGCATTTTTCCCCAAAGACTGACTGTCCTTTCCTGATAACCTCAAAGTGCACGAGAGTCTCACCATATTTACTTCAAAGAAGCAGCCTGGATACACTTCATCCAGACAGCTGTATTTACTCCTTTGTTGTTGTTGTTGTTGAATACTAGTAACTCGGAGCTGACCCACAGCTGACCCTCCAGCGGGTTTTCAGAGGCGGTTAATCGCATGAGAGGAGATTGCCCAGCTGACAGAATTGAACCGCCTGCCTTTGGGACTGCAGTGCAGATTCTTACCCCTAGACCACCAGAGACCCCCTACTCTTTTTTTATTCCTTTTTTTCCATTTTATAAAATTATTTTTAATTGCTATTTTAACAAAAGTTTGCAGAAAAGGTGTATTTCTATTCATTCATTGTTGCAGTTTCCTCCCTCCTTCCATAGCCCCCCAAGTCCATGTTGCTGTGCACCTCTTATTCTGAGCCATTCTCACGCAAATAATACCTAATCATATATTTCTTTTAGACAGTCTTTCCCTCATCTATTTATATATAGTGTTCATTATTTATCCCTTCTTTTCTTCATTTTCTCCCAACCGCCATGTCAGTCCGATTTTGTAACAGTAGCGTTATGCAGTTTTTGTCCTTTTGTGACTGAGATACTTCACTCAGCATGTCTTCAAGGGTCACCCATTCTGTATAATATTTTATGGGTTCCTTGTTTTTCAGTGTTGCATAGTTTTCCATTGTGTGAATATACCACAGCTTCTCTATCCATTCATTTGTTGATGGGCACTTGGGTTGCTTCCATCTCTTTGCTAATGTGAATGATGCAGCAATAAACATGGGTGTGCATCTATTTGTTTAGGTGGCAGTTATGGGGTTTTTTTAGGGTATATACCCTAAAGAGTAGAATTGCTGGGTCAAATGATATTTCTATCTCCAACTTTTTGAGGAAGTGCCATACTGCCTTCCATAATAGCGTAAAAAGGAAAGGCACAGACTGGGGGGAAAATATTTGGTAATAACAGGTCTGATAAGGGACTTATATCTAGAATTTCTAGAACACTCCAGAACCTCAACAAGATAAACAACCCAAGCACAAAATGTGCTCAGGATATGAACAGACACTTCACCAAAGAAGACATTCACATGACGAACAAACACATGAAGAAATGGTCAAAATCCTTAGCTCTAAGAGAGATGCAAATCAAAACAACTATGAGATATCATCTCACCTCAATAACAATAGCAAAGTTCAACAGAGAAGCAAACAACAAATGCTGACGAGGTTGTGGAGAAACTGGAACACTCCCCTCCTCCTCTAGCTGTACTTAATAGATCCAATATTCTTCACCAAAAGCACAGCTCAAAGGCACCACTTCTTCAGCCTACCTTTTCATTGTCTCAACTTTCACGTGCATATGAAGCAATTGGAAACTCTGTGACTTAGGTCAGGTGCACCTTCCTCTTTAAACTGAGATCATAGCTCTTTTTCATTTAGAAGAGACCCTGATCATTGCAATCCTTGTCGTTTTGGCCACAGAATTGCCCAATATAGCATAGTTTTTGGTTTCCTGATTGCTGCTTCTTCTATGTGAGGATGGAGCAAGGTTCTGATTTGATGTTCAAAGGGTCACTAAGAGTTGTAACCACCTCCATGGACATAACAACAACAATCTTATATGTGTGTTGACTGTGAGTCCAAATAAATTACATATTTTCTGTATTTATCATAAAGTTGTTTAGTGGACCAGTTGTGAGGATTTTTGCCTTCTTTGTATTTAGGTGTAACCCATACTTAAGGCTCTATATCGTCTTTGGTCTTCTTCATGAAGATCTTCAAGTCTTTTTCACTTGCAGCGAACAATGTTATGTTATCCATATATTGAAAGTTGTCAATGAGTCTTCCTCCAATCCTCACGCCGTATTTTCTTCAAATGGTCCAGCTTTGCAGATTATTTGCTCAGCATATATATCAAATGGGTTGTATTCAGTAGGTTTTATGAAACCTGGGACATTCCTTTCTTGATTTTAAATGATGCAACATTTCCTTGTTCTGTTCAAATGGCTGCTTCTCAGTTCGTGCGCAAGGTAGCCTGATTTGGTAAAGTGGAGGCTCAGGGAATGTGAGGGAAATGTTCAGTGGGAGGTATTGACAAAGTGGCTCCAGTGATGAGGTCAAAGACGGCAACAGCTGTGAGAATGACACAGCACCCAGCGGTGTTTCATTCAGTTACACGTTGTATTGTCATGTATTGGAACTGACTTTATGGCATCCAGCCACCATGGTAACAAATACTCGTTCTTAATCTGCGTAGCCCTTTGTTGCTACTGCACATTGCTATGCCTGAAGACAGCATTTTATTTCCTTGAAGTCAAGGATACTCCTCTAAGTCATAGACTTAACAAATTCACAGGTGGATATAAAGGGATCAGAAAGCACACAAAAGACAAACGGAGAGCTTAATAATCAGAAACGGGACAAGAAAGATGATGTGAGAGTATTGCTTCCCTAGTTTGACAGTAGACACTTTATGATTGTTATTAAAAATGTAATTGTATAATGGGCACATAAACAATTACTGTTCTATAGAAACTGACAGGAATCAAAGGAATTGATGACTGGATTTATCTTTGAAGTGATGGTGACACCATATAGCTGAGCCACGCTTTGTTTACCTTGACTTGGAAAAAGACTAAATTCTACTAACAACTTCTAAGTTCCAAACTCTTACATTAATCCCAGGGAAACTTTTCCCTTTAAGTGGCAAACACCGTGCTTCTTCCTCCCCACCCCCCCTTTTTTTTTACAAACCTCACAAAATTTATTTAAACTACTCTTACATTTACCAAAAAAGTTACAAAGATAGTTACAATAGCTATAGTTTTACCTGTGGTACATTATACTGAGAAATATATAGGGATTTTTGTTTGGGTGGATTTTTGTGATTTTTCTGTCTTTTTTTTTTTTTTTTAGATGAGACAGACACAATTTGCAATGAATGAGAAGTAGTCATTTCCCTTCCCCAAATGATTTCCTCTCTCACCTTGGGGAACAAAGGTGGCAGCCAGAATGAAAAATCCCATCAATGACATGAATAACAGCTGGTTGGTTCGACGACCCATACAAATGAGTGTGACAAAGGCAGTATATCTGCTTAGGAGGGTGGTGACTCCAAAGAGGACCTGAAGCAGGTAAATATTGCTCCCCCAGTGCTGCAAGTGAAAAACCAGCCCATAATAGCTTAATTGGTTTACCAATCTGCAATGGGGGGGGGGGAGAGAGAAAGAAAAACATGCCATAAGTGTTAAAGCCTAAATTATATTCCTTAAAATCCAAGAGTAAGCCCTACAGTTGACTATAATGTGGCTTGTTGATGCTGTTATTGTGTACGGTTGAGTCAGAACTGACACGTGCTGGCCCTCCAGTGTGTTTTCAGAAGCAGTGAATTGCAGTGAATTAACACAGGCGGTTATCCATCTTTCCCCCCTGGAGCAGCTGAAGGAAGTGAAGCACACACCTTCCGGTTGGCAGAGCAGCTCCTTACCACTAGACCACCAGAGCTCCCTTAGGTGATGGGAAATGAATGCTACTGGAAAAGGCCCATTCTGTCTTGTTGTATACTATCAAGTCAGGACTGATTCATAGCTGACCCTCCAGCAGAATTTTCAGAGGCTTTTTTGACTACCCATCTTTCTCCCTCAGAGCAGCTGGTAAATTCAAACTGTGTGCCTTTGGGTTGACAGTGAAATTCGTTACCACTAAGCCACCAGAGAATATTTATATATAAAGCTGTGATATAGACCTTTTTTTGCTAAGCTGGTAGACTAGGCCCAATAAAAACAAACATATGTAACAGATATGGATGATAATTGTGGAACACTGAATTTCAGAAGAAAAGACAAAAAAGTATTTCAAATACCAACTGAAAGAAGAAAGAATCAAAACATAAAATATGGAGAAGGACAGAACACAGAACAAGTAGCAGTTCAGCATGGCCATTTTCAACAGTTGCCTGCTGGGTTTGAGATTCTGGGCCAGTGGCAGAATCAACACCAGGAGCTGGCTCATGGCAGGAAAGGTGTTATGTCTCCCTTTGCCCCCTTCCCATCGTCCTCTCCTCCCCAAAGCCCCACATAGTTGGCAGCATTCCAAGGCCCAGGCTAGCTCTGCCTGAGGCCAGGTCCATATAATGTGCACCACGTACTAGAAGTACACACTTGGGTCTATACCCAGAGACTTCCTCGAGCCTGCATACTCAGCTGTGTCTGGCCTGCAGGTAACTCCTGCAATAATAGGAGGAACACCTCTTTTGGGGTACTTGACTTTCACATTGGAAGGACAAACGCAAAATTGAAGAAATACAACAGACTAAGTGAGATGGAGGACAGATCCTTCAAGAATAATCAGAGAAATAAAAAGAGAAAAGAAGGAAGGAAAATGAAAACGCATGAAATCATGTGGGAGAACATCAAGATGAGTAACCTACAATTGATGAGAATTTCAGAATGGGGCAGGGGGGAGAACCAAAATAAAGGGGGGAAAGCACAGGGGAAATTGCTGAAACCTGCGGGAAGAAAATATCCCATATATTATGAAAAAGGAAAAAATAAGCATTCAAGGAGCTGAGCAAATCTCAAATAGGCTAGTGCCAAAAAGAAAAGCACCAAGACATATCATAATCACATTTTCCAAAATTAAAGCCAAAAAAGTATACTGAAAGTAGCTCAAGAAAAAAAAATATAGCACTGTCTACAAAGATGGGAGGGCCAGTGGCCTAGTGAGTAGGGAGTTGCACAGCCAACCCAAAGGTGGGTGACTTGAATCCACCAATTGTTCCATAGGAGAGATGGGAAATCTCATTTTGTGCAATTTTACAGTCTCTGAAAACCTTCTGGTTTATGAATAACTTGACAGCAATGAGTTTTGGAGTATTAATAAGACTGCTCTCATTTCTCAGCAAAAACCACGAAGGAAAATAGGAAAACAAATTTTAGATAGATGAAATAGATATAGGTATAGGTATATACCTTTGCCAATAAATTTTACACCTAGCAATATTGTCCCTCAGCTATGAAATTAGAACATTTCCAAATAAGAAGAAACTAAGGTAATTTATAAAGAGTATAGACAATTTTTACAAGAAATCCTAAAGGGCGTTCTTTGGGCTAAGAGCCTATAATGAGGGAACTCTGGTGCTTTAGTGATAAGAAGCTGTGCTGCAATCCCAAAGACAGATTTAACAGATACGGAGAGAGAATACAATTCTGACACATGCCTTTTTAAATGATAAGCCATGGGTTGTTCCAATGCTCTGTTCTCACAACAGCCTCTTGGTCTAGGTATAGGTTTTGTATGAGCACAATTAAGTGTTCTGAGATTCTCATTCTTCTCAGTATTAGCCATAACTTGTTATAATCCACACAGTCAAAAGACTTTGCATAATCAATAAAGTATCCTTTTGTTTTGTGCAATAGACATACTTTTTTAAAATCAACAGTCACGTGTGGTCCTGAGCCTCCTATTTAAAAAAGGTGAGACCCAGAAGTTAGGCTTTTTTTACCAACATGCATCTGGGCCCTCAGACCTGTGATTCTTGGGCCTTGTGTGAAGCACCAGCCTGAAAAATTAATCTACAAACTTCCATGTGACCTTAATATCCACATCTGGTTTGTAGCTCCAGCATGCCAGGCATCTCAGCTGGAATACTTCTACATCTTCCCAGGAGCACATCACGTCATATCTATGCAGGCTTCAAATGTGTTTGATAAGCTATGAAGGTGCTTGATTTGCTATTAGAGTTACAACATCAGTTAGTCAGTTTGTTGGATTGGGGGAATGAATTGTCCTAATTGGTACAGCACTTGTCTGTCAGTTTGCTGTACTGAAGCAACTTGTGGGTTGCTGTGATGCTGAAAGCTATGCCACAGATGTGTCAAATGCCACAAAGGTTACCCATAGGGGACAAGTTTTAATAGAGCTCCCAGATTAAGACTAGGAAGCAGGGCTGGCCATCCACTTCTTAAATAACAAGCCTCTGAAAACCCTATTAACAGATGACTTACAGCGTATTCATGTTATTAATTACCATCAAGTCAGAACCAACTCATAGCTGACCCTCCAGGAGATTTTTAGGGGCTATAAATTGCACAGGTGGAGTAGAACTATATACCCTTAAATTGACAGCATAGCTCTTTACTATTAGGCTACAAAGTGAGAATTACCTGCAATCAAAATGAAAGAAATTACTTCTGTGTAAACCAAAATTTATGAATCTCCCAATTCAGAAACACAAATGATTTATGATTTATTCATATGAAATGTAAGAACACTAGAAAGGAACATGGTGATAGAAATAAGAATTCTATTTAGAGAAATAACTTACATTTGGAGCAGTACTAATTAGAGGAGGATGACATTAGAAATCATTCAAATATGTTTGATCTGATCTGCACATGCATGGATTTATGAAACATTTGCCAAATTGATCAGTTTGCATACTCAAGGTCTGGATATTTTCTTGTACATAAAAGATTTTCAATAAAACGCTTTAAAAAATAAAACATCAACATACACTACATGGTAAAACTCAGCATCGTCATTTCCTATGATGAATTCTGTGCTAGAATACCATGATCACAATTTTTTTAATTTATTTTATGTTGGTTTACATACAAAAGTCATATATATTGTATTTTATTTATATACACTGCCTTTCATGCATTCCCCCATTCACACTGTGTTTCACAATATCATTCCCATACATTGTGTTTTACAATGCTCATAAATTTTATATGTGTAGTTAGAGCCCATTCAATCTTCTAACAATACTCCCATCTCACTAATATCTAGTAGATTTCAACTCATGACCACACTCTATTGGGTTTTGAGACTGTAACTCTTTACCTAGAACACTCTTTTTTACTTGTATCACTCTTTATTGGAAATATTCTTTATATAATTATCACTCTATATACATTAGCATATAGATTGAATAGGTATGGGAAGAGAATACAACCCTGATGCACTCCCTTCTTAATTTTAAACCATGCAGTGTTCCCTTGCTCTGTTTGCACAACAGCCAGGTTTGGTTCCACATGAGCACAATTAAGTGCTCTGGGATTCCCATTCCTCTCAGTGTCAGCCACAACTTGTTATGATCCATACAGTCAAAGGCCTTTGCATAGTCAATAAAGCACAAATAGACATTCTTCTGGAATTTATTACTTTCAGCCAGGATCCATCTGACATTAGCAATGATATCCCTGGCGTCACGGCCTCTTCTAAATCCGGCTTGAACTTCTGCCATTTTTTAATGATCTTCAGCAGTATTTTCCTTGCATGTGATATTAATGATATTGTTTGATAGTT